TGGCCGGATTCTGCTCATGGAAGTCATGTCAGCGAGCTGCTGGCTCCTCCAGCTCTCCTGTCAACATCCATCCCTGCTCCCCTCTGCCTGCACAGCATCGCATGGGACCACATGTCTGTGACCTCCAGCACTTCTCCAGATTCCTCACTGTGCTATCAGTAATTGAACCCAACACTCACTTTTCCACTTGCTGCCAGAACAACCCCAGTCCTCGATGAGAGCTTTGGCCACAGGGCACTCAACTCAGTGTGTCCTTGTGTCCCAGCAGGTCCCTCCCAGGCTCAGGTGACCTTGGAATGGGGCAGAACACATCCTGGGGACCTCGTGGGGAGCTGTCACTCTCTGCAAGGGCCCTCCTTTGGCAAGGACACCTCTGCACCCATGGCCTTATGAGAACCAGTCAGCACATCGCTCCTCTTGTGCGAATCCCCATCTCCTGCAGTCACAGGGCTGGGGCAGACTCAGATTTCACTCTTCTGCAAGGAAAACGCGAAGCCCTTCTGGGTGCATAGAAGAGCTGCAGGCACAAACCTTCCAGCCTAAAAAGCAGAACACGAGAAACCGTACTCCGTACGTGATTTTCTTCCTTTTTTCTTCTTCTTTTTCTGTCTTTTTTTTTTTATTTTTAATATGAGGCTTAATTTGAAGCCCTGCTCGTGATTCTTGGGCTCTGACTCACACTCGGGATTATCAGCACTCTGGGAGACGTCGACTGGCATCTGCGGGGCGTGCGGGGAGGAGGCAGCAGCCCAGCCCTGCTGTATGTTTCCCCTTTACACCACAAGGATCTGGCTGCGAGATAATGGCTCTCCACCGCCTTTTCCTCAGGGCCCCTCTGTGCTGCAGACACAAACCGGAGCGCGAGCGGTGTCCAAAGTTCATGTGCTGGCTGAGCGCTGCCGCTTACATCGCTGCACTCGGTTGCCCACAACTCGCTTCAGTTCTCTCCTCCTGGGTTGAGATTTTCCAGCCTCTCTCTCTGCACAAAGGCCGATTGAAGGCGAATCTCTGCTAACACGCCTTGGCCGTTTCAGAGTAGGAAGGCAGGAAAAAGCAATATCTACACAATAAGCATGCCCTTTTTTTTTTTTCTTCTTCTTGCAAGAATACAAAACAATCTTCCAATTTTTAGGCTGCTCTGCTGCCGAAACTGCTGGGGGTCGGAGCTGACATCTGGCAGGGAATCAGTCCCAATCGAGAACAACGGCGGAGCCTTCCAGTAAACACTGCGTTTCAGTGCTGAAAGCTACATCCACCCAGGCACAGCACGCCTCCAGCAATGGTACCTCTTAATCAGCGCCTGGAAAGCTCACAGCAGAGCGAGGAAGGATGAAAGCAGCCCAGCAAAGGTCCGACCCAACGCGCCCTGCTCACCGCCGGGCGAGCGCCGTGGCCTGGAGTTACCTATCGGCAGCAGATGTTTCACTGCCCTTGAGAAGGACGATGTGAATGAGATCTATGGAGCCAGGACCACTAAATCCCTCCTTGGCCTGCTTCAGATTAGAGCAGTTCAATGATACATCACTGAAGGCTTCCCAGAACTACACGAATACCAAAGAGAATTCAATATAAATCATGGAAGGATTTAAGGTTGGGAGGGATGTCTGAAGGTCTCCAGCCTGGCCCCTGTGTGAGCAGGATGAGCTCCAGAGCCAGGACAGGCTGCTCCAGTCAGGCAAGTGTTGAACATGGGCAAGGATGGAGATCCCACAACCTGACAGCTCATGTCCCAAGGCTGTTCAACTCCCAACACAACACAACTGTGTGTCCGTGCAAGCAGAGCTGGTTGCCTGCAGGATACAAAGGAAGAGATGATGAGAACAAGAGGCAATGCCTGCAGAGAATGAACCATCACAAGCATTGTCTGGTTGCTGCTGCATGGCCAAAAATAGGGGTCTGGGTGGATGCCTAGCCTGGGCGATGGGAAGGGGGCCTTCCCTTCCCTTCCCTTCCCTTCCCTCCCTTCCCTTCCTTCCCTTCCCTTCCCTTCCCTTCCCTTCCCTTCCCTTCCCTTCCCTTCCCTTCCCTTCCCTTCCCTTCCCTTCCCTTCCCTTCCCTTCCCTTCCCTTCCCTTCCCTTCCCTTCCCTTCCCTTCCCTTCCCTTCCCTTCCCTTCCCTTCCCTTCCCTTCCCTTCCCTTCCCTTCCCTTCCCTTCCCTTCCCTTCCCTTCCCTTCCCTTCCCTTCCCTTCCCTTCCCTTCCCTTCCCTTCCCTTCCCTTCCCTTCCCTTCCCTTCCCTTCCCTTCCCTTCCCTTCCCTTCCCTTTTCTCACTTCCCTTCTCTATGGCTATGGGCTGTTCCTCTTGGTCAAGGCAAGGATAAACTTCCCATTGCTGCCTGTGGCTGCAGCCAGCCCTGAGCCCACTGGGCAGGACCTCATGTTGGCAGGACCTCTTTCCAAACTGACCATGGGACACAATTGGATCATGCTTGAAGCAGCCAGCGGTGCTCAAGAAAGACGTCAGTCTCAATACATGGCTTTGTTCAAGGGCCACTGAGCTCCTGGATGGCTCTGAATGAGGAACTTGACAAGCCCAAATATTTTGCTTCCTCTAAATGAGATTGAGCAGTACTGGTTTGATTCCCAGGTGCTCCACTCCATTCATCCTCACAACCTGTCCCCCCTGCCCCATGACTTGAGATGCACTCAACCACTTGCGATGCTGCAGCAGGCAGACTTGCAGAAGGCTGCATTTCAGATACACGTGGAGGTGAACACCCATTAGCTAGCAATTAAAAGCTGGTGAGGCAAGGCAGGAAAACATAAGGATGCTTGGAAATGGGCAGAGGTGGCCGCCCTGACCCTTCCTGCTTTAGATGAAGACTGCGCTGCCTGGAGATCAGCACTAGATGAACACGAGGCACTTGGTGAGCAGAGGGATGTGCAAGCGGAGTGAACATTTCAGCCTACACAACGCCAGGCAGGGCCGAGCACAGCCCTCAGCCTCCCCACAGCCGTGACAGGCACCAATCGAGGCATCTCGGGCTCAGATGGGGGAAAACGTCAGAGCCGGGAGGGGCAGATCCCCATCCGCGCAGGGTTTGCAGCATCGGTCGTACAACATCAGTCAGCGCCGGGGTTGGACACCTCGGGGGCCCCTTCCCCTGCGTGCCCACGACCTGCCCTTCGCACATAGCTTTCCTTTGAGCTACGCATCCGCCGTGCTCCCGCAAAGCCGCGTCCCACCCCTCGGTGTCTCGCAGCGAGCGCCGTTTCCCAGGACAACGCCACAAACAGCGCCCGGCTCCGGATGCGGCTCCCCGCGAGGCAGGTGCGGGGCTGCTCCGTAGCTATGGCAAAGGTGTGTTTACCGCCGTGTTTGGCGTGCCGGTGTTACCCCCGGGACCGCATAGGGTCTAGGTGTGTGTGTGTGCGTGCACAGCAGGGCAAGGATGTTTGGGGCGTTCGTGGGGAAGCCGTGGGTCCTTATACAGCAAACTGTATCTTTGTCACTCGGGCCCTTTGCTTTCTGCTCATCAGCGCGTACCCAGAACCGTGTCTTCCCAGCACGGGCCAAATTGCACAGCTTTTCCCCAGCACTTCGCGAAGGCTCCCAGCCCTTCCCCGCGGGCAGCTCGCGGACGTCTTGGCTCCGTCGTGGCCCAATAGCAAAGGGGTTGGATCCACGTCCCCGGCGCGAGTGCCAGGGGCGGGGAAAGCGTGCCTGGTGTCTATTCTTTCGAGGTACAAAACACGCTTTCAAAAATCAGAGCCGTTTCACTGGCAAGGGATGGAAGCTGCTAGGGACGTCCAGCTGCCCCACTTACGGTTCCCAGCCCCTTTCCCCGCATGTTTTGCAGACACACGCGCTGAGGATGCATCCCCAACCAGCATCACCGGGCTCTGCGCGCCCACAGCCACGCTGCTGCACAGCCTTCCGTCTTTGCGTCCCTCTGCTCCCAGCTGTCACTCCGGGGCGCTGCGTGCCTTCGACACCGCAGCACGAGGGTGCGGATGAATGCAAAACGGACACCTGTGCAAAGCCCCGCTGGCTGCTGCGCTGCTCCCCGCTCCTCAGCTGTCGCAACCTGGGCTGGGGGGGCTCGGTTTGGCACCGGGAGCGCAGTTCTGCACCGCAGCGGCCGCGCTCGGTTGCTCGTAGGGTGAGACGCCGCCGTGCCGGCACCCGGGGCCGCGGTGACCGTCCGTCCCCAGACGGGACACGGGGTGGGCGCTGCGTGTCCCCGGGACGCCCCGCGTGGGGAAGGGGCCGCGCTCGGCCGCGCAACCCCCGCAGCCGACGGCTGAATTTCCCTGCGCGTTCCCCGATGCCGTCCTGCCTCCGGACACCCCACGCCTGCCACCTAACGGCCACGCGGGGCTCGGCGGGTGGCGATGGTGGTGACAGCGCGGGGTGGCTCGGCCCGGGCCCCAGCGGATTACCCATCTCCCCGTTCCCCCCGCACCCCTTCGAACCGCGCTGTGCCGGGACCCCTCGAGGAAGCTGTCCCCGTCTCTGTCCCCAGCCCAGGCACAGCACAGCGGCAGCGGGCAGGTATTGGGGCTCGGGGGATGAAAAACACAAGGAGAGAGCTGAGAGAATCCCAGCTCCCCACTGCGGGGTTTGCAGCCAGACCCCCTCGATGCACCCCAATCCCCCGCGTCTGCCCTCCCTCGCTTGACACCCAAGCTGCTCCTCCAGCCCCTCCTTTTGCCTGGCAGCCCCCACGGCGCTGGCCTGCTGCCCCCGAGGTGTGACACCCCCCGCTGCCACCCCCTCTTTTTGGGCTTTGCACTCCCCCCTCCGCCTGCTCCCCTCGCCCCCCGCCCGCCGCAGGCCGCCTTCTTTGGCAGCTCCCCCCGCACTTTTGGCAGCGCCGCGCCAGAATTGGAGAGAGAGCGGCGAGGGAGAGAAATTACACACACACAAAAAAAAAAAAAAGGAAGAAAAAAGAGAAAAAACAACGCAGCCCAATAGCCTGGAGAGGGCTGAGTGTTTGCCCTTTCGTCATGACGTAGTGTCCTGTGCCTCTCTCCCCCCTTCTCTCACTCCTTTTCCCCTCCCTCCTTCCAACCCCCACACCCCCCCTTCCCCTCACATCCTTGGAAGCAACAATTAAGCAGCTCTGGGATAAAACACACTGACTGCGAGAGCACGGGGGCATTGCTTCAAGAGATGGCAAGGCAGGCAGCTGCACCCCTCCTCCCCGGAGTCCTCCTCCTCTTCTCCATCCTCCCGGCTTCTCAGCAAGGAGGTAAGGAACGAAAAGCTCCATCCCCTGCGCCTGAAGGGGCTCTGCAGGGACCCCGCGTCCTGCCCCGGCCGAGGGCTGCGTGTCCCCGGGGAGGGCAGCCCCTGCCCTGCTCTGGACGCCCGGGGTAGCAGGCAGAGATCAGCCGGGTTCCTCCTCCCCGACTGCAGGGTGCGATGGTGGCACACAGAGCCTGGGAGCGGCACCGCGGAGCGCTTTTTGGGAGGTGGCTCCGAGGTGCCACATCGTGCCCAGGTGCTGGGGACATGCATGTGGAGTGGCTGTAAGTGCCAAGGGCAGGGGGCTGGCATCCATGGCCCCCCGTTGTGATCTCAGTGTGAGCTGGGGGCTGCCTGAGGGCTGCGTGCGTGCACAGCGTGTGGCCATGACAAAGCCTTTCGCTGGTGTCGTGGTTGCTGTGTGTCCCCCCCCTGGTGTCATCCACCCCCCGGCTCGGCAGCGTCGGCCTCTGGGGCTGTGTGACACCCCGTAGTGCATGCACATGTGCACATGGGCAGGGGACAAAAGGCACTGGGTACCTGGGCCGAGCATCCTGCTGTGAGTGGGACAGGGCCAAGCAGCACAGCAGGTGTGTGACCAGGGTACGGGGCCACTGAGTGAGGATTTAAGGCTGCTCACCATGGGAAAAGTGGGTGAAAGCAGGGAATGTGTGGTGCAGTGGGACAGCTGCCTCCATAGGGCCTGGGGTGAGGGGGAACGGCACCCGTCTGGCTGAATGGGGCACCAGCAGTGGTGGTGATGGGGACAGTGCTGCAGCCATCACACGCTGCCAGCTGCTCAGGGCAGGGCAGGACCCCACGGGCAGTGCCACCCCTGCCCAGTGCAAAACCCTCAGGGAAGCTCTCTGCAGCCAGCAGCTCCTTGCACGGATGCCCTGCAGCTCTCTGCTCTGTCCCAGGCTGCTTGTCCCCAGCCATGCACGTAATGTCACTCCTGTGACAGGCACCTGCACAGCTGCTGCTCTGCCTGATCCTGGAGAGCTGCAGCCCGGGGCCAAGCAGCCGTCCCAGCCGGGTTGCAGCTCAGTGCTGGCCACTCCCTGTGCCTGGCAGGGATGCTCTGTGCTGGCTCCCTTCACCCTGGTTGCTTTGCTTGCCAGCTCCCATGCAGTTGGCAGCTGGGGCAGTCTCAGGATGGCTTTGGCCCCAGAGTGATATCCCACAGTGGTGTGTGAGCAGTTGGATTTGCTGGCCGTGCTCCAGCCTCTGGCATGCTGTCCTGGGGTGTTGGCTGGTCTGGGAGCAGCTCTCTGAGGAGTCCCTGTGCTGATGGGGACACTGGGGAACATTTCCCTATAGAGAAATGACCGTTGTTCCTGCAGCCCAGTGTGCTGCTTGGCACTGTGCTCTGCGAGCCCCTGGGGATCAAGCTGGGATAAGGGCACAGCCAAAGGCACCAGTGGGTGCTCAGGATGCATCCACCTGGAAGGGTTACAGGGCTGCCTCCCATGGCACACACTGCAGCTTCAATTTGGACAGGGAAGGGGCATTTGAGATATGCCAGGGCTGGGGGCATGGAGATGGGGGCAGCCCTGTGCACTCAGACTGTTCCAGCGCCCTGGGGAAGACCTTTAGAGTGCTGACCCAACGAGGGGCTGAGCTGGTGGCACCTGGGATCCTCCAGTGGTAGCTCAGCATCTCTTCCAGGGAGTTGGTTTGTTCTGGGCACCGTGGGGGCATGCAGTGTCCCATGGATGAATCTGGGCTACTGTACAGGGAAGCTGCTGTAAAAGGTGCCAAGGGAAGCGTATGGAGGGGGGCACCCATCCTCCAGTGCTTCCCCACAAACGATGCCTTAAAGAGGGCAGAAGGACACGAGCATCCCAATCCTGTGGGCTCAGGGTTCAGAGGTTGGCCCAGAGATGCAGGTAATAGATGTGCTGGCATCCTGCCCCCCCCCAGCACCCTGACCCCATGGAGACCCTCTGAGGGTGCACAATTCACTCCAGAACACCTTTGCAGCCTGTCTGCAGATACTTCAGAGCTGAAAGCTGGGGCTCTGGGGTCCGGATGGGTGCCTGACTGTGGTGACAGCTTCCCTCTCCTCTCATCCTCCTGAGCTGCTACCAGTGGGCTCGGGATGTGGGCACGGCTTCAAAGTTGCCTGGAAACCGCATGTTTCCAAAACCCATTCTTCCAAAAAAGCAAACAACGAGAGGGAAATGTCTGCAGCGGTCGGGCGCTGAGCCGGCTGTGGGAAGGGGCCGGGGAGGCTGCTGAGCAGCGGGGTTGGCTGCCCTGACGTGGGGCGAGGGGCTGAGCAGGGCTGTGTGCTCCCGTCCTGTCGTGGTCCTCAGGAAGCTCTTGGATGTGAGGAGGAATGAGCTGCTGAATACAGAAAATATCTGCGTTTCTTGCTTGGAAAGGGATCTGCCAGTAAGTGCGCGGGTAGTGGAAAGTGTGTGGCTAACAGGAATTGCTGTCAAACATAAATGGTGAGGGTAACAGAAAGAGGGGTCAAAAGAAAACAGATAATGGGACAGTGCAGCTATTGCAGCGACCAGATGGCGCAGAGCAGTGGAAGAGAAGTCCAGCTCCTATAAACAAGGTTCCACACTGGATCCTGAAGCACCTCCGTGAGCAAACCCCTGCAGCCAGGGCTGTGCATTTAAGTGCCTGCTCTCCTGTCTCAGGGTTGGAAACACAACCCAGTTCCGGGGGAAAAAGGGACCTGTGAGCAATTCTCCCTCTGCCCCCAGCAGGCTCTGAGCAGGACAGGCAGTGCAGGGAACCCACCAGCCCCAGTGGGGCTGTAAGTCAGTTTCTCCATCACCAATGTGCTGAGAGATGGAGGGGGCAAAGGAGGGTCCCTTGTGCTGGGATCAGAATACAGGCAGTGCCTGCTTCCCTGCCGCGAGGCTGGGGACAGGGCTGCAGGTGTGTGACAAGCATGGAGACAGCCCCAGAGAGCCACTGCTGCTGCTGCAGTGTGGCACGGCTGTGGTGCAGCAGTGCAGCTGTGCAGGAGCACAGGGCTGGTTGGTGTCACAGCTGGTCCTGCTCAGCAGCACATGAGGAGCAGGCTTCTGTGATGCTGTGGGCAAAATCTGTGCAGCCAGGTTGGCTGGTGCCAAGGCAGGAGGTCCACATCCACCTTCTGACCCCCACACGGACACTAGCACCTCCCCTTTAATCTCCAAAACACTGGGATTGCATGGAGCTGGAACAGGCACCAAAGAGCACGGCCTCTGCACAGCATCCCCCAGACCTTTATGGGACTCAAAGGGCACTGAGCTGCCTCCCCTCACCTTCTCCATGGGGCTGTGCCAGGCAGCGGTGGTGCAGAGGATCTGGGTGTCCCCACAGTGCACAGCATTCCCCCAGCAAAAGATGCCACCCTGCCCACGGAGGGCTGAGTCCTGGGGACTCCAAAGGAGTATCCCACACAGCTGCCCAGCAGGTCGGGTGGGAAGGATGAGAGTTGTGTGTATGTTTGGAAACAGGCAAGGAGCTGGGATTTGTTTTTCCAAGCTGGTGGGGGGGGGAGGAGGAGGGGTGAAGGGGGGATGAGGGAGGGCAGGCAGGAGAATGTGCCAGGAAAAGGAGCCGCTCCGTAAGTGCTGGCTGGCTGCTGCACTGCTGGGCTGGGCTGGTGGTCAGCGGGGACAGAGACAGCTCTGCTCCCTGGGACATCAGCTGCACCACAGCTGGATTTGTGCCCCAGGCCGGTTTGGGGATGCGTGGTGCCAAATCTACTGTTGGGCACTGCTGGAACACATCAGCTGGAGAATGCTGCTGGGCCCGTGTCCCCCAGTGTGCGTGTGCACAGGGGTGTGCATCCTCCTTGTGCAGACACATGTGTCCTTCACATGTGTGATGTCCTTCACATTACCTGACATATGTGTGCATCCCAGCATGGCAAGGTTGGCACTCCAACCCTGGAGCCTCACAGGGTGGCAGGGTGCAAGGAACACCCTTGATTCAGAGGCTTTGCATGCCATGTACCCCAGGGCTGTGCCACCACATGCACCAATCTCCTGGGGGTGCAGGGTCCCCCCCCCCGCCATCAAAGGTCCAGAAGCCCCAAATCCTCCCTGCCCAGCCCACTGTGAGCTCCTCAACCCTGCCCACCACACCACAAATCCCTTTTCAAGCTATTCATTATCAGAAAGCCCATCCAGGAGCAGAGCATCCCCTGCACCACGTTCCTGCACCCAAACCATCCCTGCTGAGTGAGACCCCTGCCATCCTGCACCCCGCACACGTACCCCGTGCAGCAGGGAGCATCCATCTGCTGAACGTGCCTCGGCAGAGAGAAGTTCACCCACCCCAAAGGCTCTCAAACACCACCTGGGAGCCCCACTCCAGCCACCTTTGAGAGCTGAGGGGCTGAGGAGCTTCTCCACTTTGCAGGGATGGACAAAGAGATACAGATCGGGTGGGATTGGGTTTTGGAGTTGGCATGGTTTGGGGAGGCAGAGCTGGATCTCAGCCTGCTTGTTATCCTGCTGACACCCACAGCAGGTCCTGGGGCAGCTGCAGACCCCATCACCACTGCAGCACTGGAGGCAGGGAGATGTGCAAGGACAGGCAGAGAGCTCACTCTGCTCTAGGGAGTGTCCTCATCGCAGTCCTGCACAGATCCCTGTGGGGGTTTTAACGGAGTCTCTCTTCTTGCAGGGGTCCCTGGTGCTATCCCGGGAGGGGGAGTCCCAGGAGGAGGCTTTTTCCCAGGTAAGGAGAGGTGGGCAGTTGGGGGTACCGTGGGGATGGGGCAGGCCCTTGAGGAGGCACTCAGGACACCTGTGAGACCAGCAAGGCAGGAGCATGGGACATGGGGACACTCAGCCTTGGGTGGCTGCAGCCCCCTTGGTGTGGGCAAGAGGCTGTGCCAAGCTTATGCTGGGGCCTCCTGCCCATAGCTGGCACCTCCACAGCCCCCACTGCGGGAAGGTCCGGGGTGACAGCCTGTCCTTCGTGCTCTGGCTACGTGCAGCCTTGGGGCTCTGATCTGACTGTCACCCCAGGACCCACAGCATGAGTTGGGCCTGGGTGGAAGCTTGCAGAGGTGGGTGCTGAGACTGTGCTGTTGCTCACAGGTGCTGGAGTTGGAGGTTTGGGAGCAGGTTTGGGAGCAGGTTTGGGAGCAGGTGAGTGCTGGGGACCCTTGCCTGGGACAGGGAGGAGGTGGCATGGCAGCACCCTGCGGCGTCCCCAAATGCACTGCAGGGGATGCTGTGCCTGACTGCTCTCCCTCATCTCCCCCAGGGCTCGGGGCTGGAGGAAAACCTCTCAAACCAGGTATGAACCTTCCCTTTATCTCTCACTGATTGCACCAGCAGCCAGGATGCAGGAGGAGGCCGTGGGCATGGGATGCTCCCTGTCACCAGCCAGCGCTTTCCGCTCACCAAGCTCTCAATAACCACAATGTCTCTGCGTGCCTTCGCCCTTGTCCCTGGCTTCAGCACTGCCACTTTCTCTCCAATTGTTCCCATATCCCAGATGTCCTCAGCAGTCCCCTAGTCGAGCAGCTTCGGCTGGGGCTCGTCTGCCCAAAAAGGAGGGGATGAGCGGTGGCAGGGCGCTGATGGAGAAGTCCACTGTCTGGACGCAGGGGATGCTCCACGGGATGGGGAGCGCAGTGCCTGGGGCGGGATGCGCTGCCTGCCCCGTCCCCTCTCCGCGCCGCGGGAGCGCCAGCCCCAGGCGGGGGCCTGCAACCTCCGTTTACTCAGATTTCAGCTTGTGGAAAGAAAAACAAGGCCCTTTATTTCGGCGTAATTAAAACCAAACGCGGCGCAGCCGCGAAGCCCCAGCCGGAGCGGTGTCCGCGCCGTGAGCCAAAGGCAGTGGAATTTGCGCCTGGAGGGAGCGAGCGCTGATTAGCCCCAGATGTTGGAAGGCAGCGCTGGCCGGAGCCGGAGGGACTCATTCCTCAGCCATAAACATTTAGGCTCCGTCCCCTCGTGGCCCGGCGGGTGGGGCGGGAAGGGACGGCGGTGGCCATTGGATGGGGACACACGTCCCGTGCCACGGTCTGAGTCCTGTCCCCACCCCCATGTGCCCATCCCTGGGGCCTTGGTGGGCTGGGACCCCCGGACCAATGCATCCCGCTGGGACGGTGCAAATACGGTCGCCTCGTCACGACCCTGGTTCCTGGGGGGGAAAAAACCCATCCCACGAACCCCTGTTTGTCGTGACAGCTACATCCCTGCTCTGCGCAGGGAGCAAGTGCCGGGGCGATGGCAGGGAACCCCACGGACTGGCCCAGGTGCCAGAGCAGCACGGGATAGGGATGGGAAAGCATGGCTGCAGCTCCGCCCCTTCCCTGTCCCCTCGCAGCGCCCCTGCGGCCACGCCGTCCTCCTCAGCCCAGTTCTCTTTCCAGGGGTCGGTGGCCTCGGGGGACTCGGCCCTCTTGGCCTGCAGCCAGGTGAGCGCGAACCAGGATTATGCCCTACACGCACAGCCTCCCCAGGGACAGCGGGTGGCCTTTCCCCACGGCCGTAGGGTTTGTCCACCGTGAACCGGCAGCGGGGCCACCCCCGTGGCCGTGTCCTCCCGTGGGGTTAAGCCGGGCAGCCCCGGGCAGCGACAGGAGCAGGTGTCCTGGGGGATGTGGGGTGACAGAGCACAGGACACGATCCAGGCTGGCACCGCAGAGCTGTCCCCGTGCAGATGTCACCTAACGCCGCCTCGCTGTGCCTAATGCCAGCTCGCTGCCCCTCGCCTCTGCTGCAGCCCTGGGTTACAGACAACGTGCTGCTCCTGGGCTCGCCCCGCTCCTCCTGCTGCACGTAGGTGCTGCAGGGCAGGGTGAGTGCTTGTGGAGGTGGGCGCTAAGATTATGCTATTGCTCGCAGGTGCTGGGGTCGGAGGTTTGGGAGCAGGTTTGGGAGCCTTCCCCGGGGCAGCCTTCCCAGGTGCTGCGTCTGCGGCCGCTCTTAAGGCTGCAGCAAAAGCTGGTGAGTACTGGGGGTGTCTGTGGGCGGGACCTCTGGGCTTGGGCATCCTTAGGGCTCTGGAGTTTGCCTGCTCAGCCTGGAGTATCCATACCCTGTGCTGCTTTGGGATGTCCCTGCTGCCATCCCTTTCTGTGGCCCAAAGGTGACATCTCACCCTGTGCCCTCGTTTTCCATGCATCCCCAGGTGCTGGCCTTGGTGGTGTGGGTGGAATTGGTGGCCTCGGTGGCGTGGGTGGAGTTGGAGTTCCAGGAGGCCTTGGTGTCCCAGGTAGGAAATGCCCCATTGCCACACTCTGAGCCCGTGGGAGCACTGCATGGGTGCTCAGGACTCTCTGCTCCTACAGGTGCGGTGCAGCCCGGGGTTGGTGCGGCGGGGAAGCCCCCCAAAGTGCCAGGTAGGTGCATGGCCCAGATGGGGCTGGGGGCAGCGGGCAGCGCCTCTGGGCAGGTGCTCACTGCTGCCTTCCTCCTGTCCCACAGGTGCTGGCATCCCCGGAGCTTTCCCAGGTGGAGGTGTGCTCCCTGGAGCAGGTGAGCTGGGTCCCATCTGTGATCACTGAGCGGGTCCTCATTCCATGGGAACACTCTTTCATTTGAGGGGGTTCTCATCCAATGGCACTAACTCTGCCTGGAAAGATATCCCCATCTCACAGCAGCAGCCCAGACTTCAAGAGGACCCAACCAAGAGCAGCACCCTCACCTTCAAGAAAGTCCCCATCCCACAGCATCCTCTAAAGGGATCTTCATCCCACTGCAACACCCTAACCATTGAGCAACTCCCTGATCCAATTGCAGCACCTCTATGTCCAAGGTCTTCATCCCACAGCTGAACTCCCTTCTTTAAGGGGTTCCTTGTCTCACAGCAGCACCCCAACCTGTGAGTGGGTTCCCACCCCAACCAGCAAGGCGAAACCATCAAACAGCAGCCCCACAACCTCTGAGGGCATCCCTGTCCCACAGCAGCACTGCAACCTCTGGGGGGATCCCCACCTCGTGGCAATACCCAAACTTGCAATGGGAACCTCATCCCACAGCAGCACCTTAGTCTCCAAGGGGGTCCCAATCCCCAGGCAGCACCTTGGTGACCCCCTGGTGGCCTCGTAGCTGGCTGTGTCCTGACCTTGCATCCCCATCCCAATGTGCCCAACCCCACCAGGACACTGCTGCCACCTGCCCAGCTCCCTGCCCACCTTTCCTTGCCCTCCCCACAGTTTCCAGCTCCGTTTGCTAAAGCATCTCCATGGTGCCAAAGGTGGGGATTTGATGCCTCTGGGGACACGGTGTGGGCACAAGTGGCATCAGTGCTAGACACTGAATGGAGCTTAGTCTGGAGGCAGGAGAGGTGGAGGGGGACAGGAATCCGTCACCACAAAGCAATCAGTGGAGGAAAACTTGTGAAAACAAGATGTTTCAACACTCTCAGAATGGGAAGTGTGTCGCTGGTCAGGAATGTCTTTCCATGTCTGAAAATGGCACGAGTTATAATGAAAGACAGTTGTAAAAGGGAAAAAAAAAAAACCAACAAAAAACCTGAAATAAAAATGGATCCCAACTGCTGATGGGCAGAAATGGAACCTTCTGCCTGGATTCCTGCGCAGGGTGGCAGCTGAAGGGGCTGGAGCCACCTCCACCCTGGTGCCACGGGGCTGGAGCAGGGATGTGCCATGGTTGGAGTTTGTGTCCCCTCCCACCACACCGGTGCTGGGCTCAGGGGGGCTCAGTGCAGCCCGGGGTGCTGAGCCAGGGAAGGGGGACATGATTTCAAGAGAAGTGTAGATGTCACACGGAATGATGATGTTTAGTGGCATCGTGGTGATGTTTGCACTGCGTGATCCAACACAGTGGTTTTTCCAACCTGAATGATTCTATGATTCTGAGGTGCTGAGGTGCTGATTGCAGGTATCTTGAGGCAAATCCAGTGTTTTTTTTCTCTCATCTCTGGGCATTAGCAGGCAGGAGGGGGCACGGCTCTGGGCCCCACATTGCCCAGGGTGCTCACTGTCCCCTCTGCTCCACCCCAGGTATCCGCTTCCCCGGTGTAGGCGTGCTGCCCGGCGTTCCCACCGGCACCGGGGTCAAGGCAAAAGGTCCAGGTACGTCCCTGCTCCCACATCAGGTCCAGGGCTCACCTCCACCCTACTGAAGCTGTTCCCGTGCCAGCCCTTCCACAGCTGAGCCCAAGGTGGGACCCTGTGGCTTGCCGGGAGCCCCACAACTCAAGGCTGTGTGTTTGTTTCTCCCCAGGAGCAGGAGCCTTTGCAGGAATCCCCGGTGAGTGCCCCCTCTCTCTCCCCAGTTCTTCTCTTCCTTCTTAAGTTTCTCCATCACCACAGCAGCCTCCCCACACCAGAAGGTGCCTCAGAGGCTTCCCAAGCCGTGGCCGGGGACCCAGGGTGCCGCGGGCACCCCGCTCTGCAAGGTCTGGTGGCAACCTGGGCGCAGGCTCCAGGTGAGCGTCTGCTGTTGGCTTTGCAGGACTGGGAGGCTTTGGAGGCCAGCAGCCCGGTGTCCCTCTGGGGTATCCCATCAAAGCTCCCAAGCTCCCAGGTAAGCGGCCACAGCCAGCAGGGATGCGGGTGGGGGCCAGGGGGACGAGCCGCCGTCCCCGCTGCCCCGGGCTGAGCCGCGGTGGCCCTGGGTGGCCCTGGGACATATGCTGGGCTGGGACACCCCACGCTGGTCCGCAGCTCCCTCCCAGCACCAGGCACATCCTTTCAGGGACCCTCTGCTTTCTGTGGCTCCTGGGGGCCGAGGGTTGCTCACCAGACGCTCACCCAGGCTGCGTGTCCCCCATTGGGGACCCCTCGCCAAGGCCACCACCAGCAGGATGGCAGTGGGGACAGAGGCAGGGCTCCCTCCTCACTGCCCGCAGAGATGATGCTCAGTCCCAGCCCAGGGGTGCTCAGCACCCCTCTCCCGACCTGCGCCGCTCCGGTGTCATCTGTCACCCATCCCTGCGCCAGGTGCCAGACCCATGCCACGCAGGGACAGCAGCGGGGTGGCAGCGGTGGGGACAGGAGGGCATTGCCTTGTCTGGGGGTGCCAGCAGCACCCCAGTGACACCCAGGCCATGGATGGGAGCCAGAGCCCAGTGGGGCCCCTCATCCCGGGGATGCGGGATCAAATGTGTCCCCGGGTGTTATTCTGGGGTGCAGCCCACCCTGGGGCGCATCCCTCCCCGCAACGGCCGCCAGTCCCGGCAGCTTCCCCCGGCGGGGCCCACGGCAGAAATACTTGGCCAGCGCCCGCTTCCTCCCGCAGAGCCTCGTTCCGCTCGTTAGGGCGACCCGGCCCTGCGCAGATCGGATGCCGTCTGGCCGCCCGGCCCCAGACGGCCTTTCATGGGGTGCCTGCTGCAGGCACCTGGCCACGTCCCGGCGGCCCCGCCAGTGGCCCGAAGCCCAGACGGGGCTGACCCACTTTCTGGGGAGCTGCTGTGCCTGGCTCCGAGCAGTGAGCCCCACAGCAGAGAGTGGGGCTGCCGTATCCCCATCCCTCTCTTGCGGACCCCATCCTCGTGGCTCCTGTGCGGTGCCACCTCTTGCAGGGTGTGTGGTAGGATGGTGTTTCTGTCCCCCCGTGTGTTTTCGGGTGTTGGGTGCGTCTCAGCTCGTCGTTCTGCAGTGGTGTGGGGCTCTTGGTGGAAGCAGATCGGTTCATCAGGGGCTGCTGAGATGTGTGACTTGCCTTTACATCCCTTGTGCTGTGTGCAGGGCAAGAGGGGCAAGGAGACATGAAAACAGCATTTTCAGAGGAAAGTTTCCTTTTAGGGTGCTTTGCTCCAGACGCCCCTGCCAGATTCTGGGCTGTCCTGGAGCAGGAGGGGTCCCAAGGGTCCTTGGTTTGCTGGGGGAGCAGGCTGATCTGTGGCTGAAATCAGGATCCCCCATTGATGTCACAGGGATGGGGACTGCGTCGAGCTGGCCTGAGGTCAGAGAGAATGGCTTCCATGCCAGAAGCACTGCTCTGTTAGCACTGATGACACTGGTGGCCGTCCTTGTGCCGCCACAGGATGGGTGCTGGGGCACTGAGGACCCAGAGAAATGCCCAGAATCCCAAAGGTTTGGGCCCTTGGTGCCACCTTCATGTGTCACCTGGCATCAGGCAGCTGTGGGGTGAGCGGGGTGCTGCTGCTGCTGGGTGCCTGCAGGGATCCTGCTCACAGCCACCGCCTGCAGAGCGCTCCCAGCATCGCGTGGCAGCTGGTGGAAACAGCTAACGGGGAAGGGGGGGGGAGTCTGGAGCACACATGTTGGCTGTGGGAGGGGATGCTGTCTCATCCTGTCTGTGGGTGATGGTACCAGCAGGGGACCAGGCCACCGTGGTGTGCAGCCCCTGGTGCCACTTTGTCACCGTTCCTTGGACTGTGGTCACCGCCATGTTGTGCACCAGGTGTCCCCATGCTGGCACATGCAATGGGACTCCACTCTTTCTCAAGGAGCCGTCTCCCCGGCCGCGATGTTCCTTCTCGTAATCCCCCCGTTCCTTCTTGCCGACCTCCCAGTGAGGTCACGTTTCAGTTCCCAAGCCCTGATTCCAATTAAAGCCTCACATGAGAGCCTGGTGCAGCCGGTCGGGTATGGCTCTCGCCGTGGGGCTCTCTGTGGATCACTGTCGATGTGGGGTCAAGGGAGACTCCAGCAAAGACACGCTCGTGTCAGAAACCAGCTCCACGCACCACAGCCCTCAGCGTGGGGTTCGCTTTTGGTGAGGGGGACCTCTGGGAGCCCCATCACGATGCGGGGTTGCACCCCAAAAAGGATTTGGCTGGGAAGGAGCCCCAGTGCCGAGGGCTCGCTGGCTTGATGGCAAAGAGGGGCTACACCGCGAGGCAGAGCGGGCACGGCCACCGGCAGCCAGGTGCTAACCAGCGCCTTCTCTCCTCTCCAGGTGGCTATAGATTGCCCTTCGTCAATGGTAAGCTGCCCTGTGATGAGCGCTCGTAGCTTCACGGTCGTAGCTCCTCGCGGACCCTGTGTCCCCAGCGTGTCCTCAGCTATGGGGCTGGAGCTGTTTGTCTGCCTCATCCTTGCCCCGGCACCCAGCTCCTGACCTCGTTGCGCTTTCTCTTTGTGCTTGCAGGCCTTGGACCAGGTGGGATAGGAGCAGGGGTTCTTGCTGGGAAGGCTGGGTACCCCACTGGGACAGGTATGGCTCCCACCTTGGCTGCTCTGGGGGGTGCAGGGATTGGGACCCATAGACTGTGGCATGGGGAGCTGGCATATCTTTGGAAGTCATTGGTGTTTGGACAGGATTCTTGGCACTGCCTGGCGGCCCCAAAGTGGCCAGAGAGGGGACAGAGCTGTGTCACCTCCCCAGGGAAAAGGGAGGGCTGTGCTGGGGATATCCTCATCTCCTCAGCATCTCATCCTGTCCTTCCCCAGGTGTTGGAGCACAGGCGGCGGCAGCAAAAGCGGCAGCTAAATATGGTGAGCCACCATCTGCGGGCACACACAGGACTCACGGCCCCACTAGGGAGGCTGTGCCCCCTTCCAGGCTTGGGGGGGGGGGGCTGCTGCTGTCTCATCTCTGAGCTGATGCCCCATACTTCCTGCAGGAGCCGGTGTCCTGCCTGGGGCTGGCGGCATCCCAGGGGTGGGCGGCGTGGTGCCCGGTGTCGGTGTTGTGCCAGGAGCTGGAGGTGAGGCTGGGCTCAGCCCCGAGGCATGAGACCCACATCCCCGTGTCCCCATGCCCCCATATCCCACACTCCTGACTCTCTCCTGCTGCTCTGGCAGTGGGAGGCCCAGCAGCGGCAGCAGCTGCAGCGAAGGCAGCAGCGAAAGCAGGAGCCTATGGTGAGTCCCTGCTCCTCAGCCCTGCTGGTGAGGCTTTGCGGGGCGCTTTGCTTTTGGGACACTCCCCCAGCCCACAGCTCTGCACGGTGACATGCACAGCTCCCAGGGACTGCAGTCTGTTAGCAGAGGGATGGGCTGAGATCTGCAGCTCTCTGCTCCACTCTTTGGCAGAAGCGCTCAGTTTCACAGCAGCAAACCCGCGCTCATTGGAGCATCCAGAGGAAATGCGTCAGCCCCGGCAGCAGCTGGGATTGATGAGCCCGTCCTTGGGGGACCTCGCGGTCCCGCCAGCTGCCACCAGCTCCTGAGTGGCCACATGGGCTGTAGGGCTGGGGAGCTGGGAATCCCCTGCCCGGATTTGTGCATGCTCTGGGGACACTGCATCATGCACACTGCCGTGTGAGCATCACAGCGCTTGCAGAGCAGCACAGCAGTTGGCAAGCATCCTCCTCCTGCATCCCATGCCTGTGCCAGCAGTGCTAGGGGAGCTCATCCACCCTTGGCCCCTGGTGCAGCCCCAGGGGGAGCTCAGGGCCCGCTACAGCTTCCAGCTTTGCCTGGGGGATCTGTAGCCCCACGCCATCTCATGCCACTAGAGGACACCGTGCCTCCTAGCAGCTCTTGGGGGTGCTCTGACTGCTCTGCTTCCCTCCAGGTGCAGGGGTGCTGCCCGGGGTCGGTGGTGTCCCAGGTCTTGTGCCTGGTGTCGGTGGTGTGCCTGGTTTGGTTCCCGGAGTCGGAGGTGTCCCTGGGGTGGCAGGTGACTGTCCCCATGACTGTCCCCATGAGCACTCTCCCCGCTGCAGTCAGTGTGGGGCAGGTGGCTCAGGGTCCCTCTCTCTTGTCCCCAGGAGTTGGGACACCAGCAGGAGCAGCGGCAGCAGCCAAGGCAGCTAAGTATGGTAAGCACTGCACGGTTCAAGGAGCCCCCCGGCCACCTCGTTATCCTCGGGTGTCTGTGGTGTCCCATGCAGACAGCTCCTCCTGCACTCGTCCCTACCACAAGAGGGTCAAGGCTGTGGCTGCTCTGGGCAGTTTCCAGTCTGATCAGTGCCCAGAGCCCCCAGCCCTTCCATGTGGATACTGGGGGGCACCAACCGTGTCTCTATGCCATTTGGCTGCAAGGCTCCATCTCCCCATGATGAGCATCATCTGGAGCCCCCATGGAACGGCCCCTGTGCTGGTGACTTCTTAGCTCTTGGGTGACCCTGGACTAGGCATGTGTCCCACGCAGCTGCTGGGATGAGGCAGGGGACCACCATGGTGAGAGCAGCCCTACTTCCACGTCCCACCTCTCAGCAAACCCAGCTTCTCTCTTGCTGCCTGCAGGAGCTGGTGTTCCCGGTGTTGGCGTTCCTGGTGTTGGCGTTCCTGGTGCTGGCATTGGAGGTGTTCCTGGTGTGCCTGGTGTTCCTGGTGTAGCTGGTGTGCCTGGTGTTCCTGGTGTAGCTGGTGTGCCTGGTGTTCCTGGTGTAGCTGGTGTTCCCGGTGTGGTACCTGGTGTTGGAGGTGAGCAGATGGGCTGGCATGAGGGGACAACATGGTGCCAACTTTGCCAGTCCCCCTGACATCCTCTCTTCTGTTCCTGCAGTGGGTGGCCCAGCAGCTGCTGCTGCAGCAAAGGCTGCAGCAAAAGCAGCCGCATTTGGTGAGATCTTCGTCTTTCGCTCTGGGATGGATGATGGAATGGATGTGGAGGGATGGGTGGATGGTTGGATGGAGTTGTGGGGCAATGGATGGATGGTGGAATGGATGTGGAGGGATGGGTGGATGGTTGGATGGAGTTGTGGGGCAATGGATGGATGGTGGAATGGAGGGATGGAGGGATCGATGAAGGGATGGTGGGATAGATGGATGTGGGATGGATGGAGGGAAGAATGCTTACAAAAGGCCGGGGCAGGGGCTTGGATGTATTCCTGAACCTCTCTGCAGGAGCAGGGCGTGTGCCTGGGGTTGGTGTGCCTGGGGTTGGCGTGCCTGGCGGCGTGCCTGGGGTTGGTGTTCCTGGAGTCGGAGTACCTGGAGTCGGCGTACCAGGGGTTGGTGTTCCAGGAGTTGGCGTACCCGGTCTGGTGCCTGGTGAGATGTTCTCTAAGGGCTACTCGGGGATGTCTGAGGTGGTGCTGGCTGACAGATGCTGGCATGGCCACCTCAAGCCTTCACTGCCCCTCATGATCCCTGTCTCCCCTAGGAGCTGGCCCAGCTGCTGCTGCCAAAGCAGCTGCCAAAGCTGCCAAGTACGGTAAGATGGGCTCGCTCTGCTGTTATCCCACAGGTCCTGCCTCTTAGCACCTCCCCACCCCAATCTGCTTCCCTGATCTGGGCTGAGGCTAGGCGCTGCATGGGGTCCCTGTGGGTCAGGGCGAGGGATGAGCTTTCTGTAAGGCTGTGTGTGGGATGAGATCCTGGCTGTGTCTGGCAATGCTCTCCAGAGAGCTGGCCTGCATGGAGGTTCATCATCCATACAGCTTCTCATACATTTGTTCATCTGTCTCCCTTCTACTCATCCATCCACACCACCACTCACTCATCCATCCATCCATCCATCCACCCATCCATCCATCCACCCATCCATCCATCCACCCATCCATCCCACCACCCATCCATCCCACCACCCATCCATCCCACCACCCATCCATCCCACCACCCATCCATCCCACCACCCATCCATCCCACCACCCATCCACCCAACCCCTTCATCTGTGCAATCATTCCAGCCAGCCATTCCCCTTTTTCATTCACCATCTTTCTCCCCAGGCTAGACCCCAACCTTTCTCTCCCTCTTCCAGCAGGAGCAGGTGGCCTGGCACCTGGTGTAGGTGGCCTGGCACCTGGTGTAGGTGGCCTGGCACCTGGCGTGGGAGGTCTTGCTCCTGGTGTAGGTGGCCTTGCTCCTGGTGTAGGTGGCCTTGCTCCTGGTGTAGGTGGCCTGGCCCCTGGCGTTGGAGGTGTTCCAGGTAAGGCAGGTTGTGGTGGCATCTCGGCTGGGGACAGGTCATCCTGGTGGCCTCCATCAGCTTGAAGCCATCTGTTTGTGGGCGACCAAGATGAAAGGGATGAGCTTTACCCAGCATTGCTAGGCAGGGCCCTGACACTGCCCCTTGTCTTGCTGTCTCAGGTGTTGGAGGTCCAGCAGCAGCCGCAAAAGCAGCAGCTAAGGCAGCCAAATATGGTGAGCTGAGCACATCTCCACGTGGGTGAGCGGTGCTGGCACAGGCGCTGCCCCGGCCCCACGCAGCCCCCAGGCTGTGTCCTCAGCCCCTTTCCCCCACAGGTGCTGGTGTTGGAGGGGTGCCAGGTGCTGTGCCCGGTGCTCCTGGTGTGCCAGGAGTGACACCTGGCATCGGTGGTGTCCCCGGCTTAGTGCCAGGTGTAGGGGTGCCCGGTGCCGGCGTTCTCCCCGGAGCAGGTGAGGGCATCACACATCCAGCTGTGTGTGATGGGAATGGGATGCCTGTGCTAACCGCAGTGCCCTTGCTTATTTTGCAGGCATCCCCCAGGTCGGGGTGCAGCCTGGTGCTAAGCCTCCCAAATTCGGTACGTAGCGTGGTCACCGTTCCCCAGCCTGCTCCCCTTTGGGCATCCTGTGTTGATATCAGGGTGCTGTCATTGCTCCGCATCCCTGCATGCCCTGGCAGGGTGGCCCAGGTCTGGGAGGTGGCACTCTGCACGGGGTGACAGAGTGGGGACGTTTTCCCCATGCAGGATGGGTCAGGGCTACTCCCCTGGGGTCACTGTCCCTTCTGTGTGGGCTGAGGGCACCTGGCCTCACTGTCTCTTTCCTGCAGGTGTGCCCGGGGCTGGGGTCCCAGGGGTCGGTGGCATCCCAGGTAGGTGGTGCAGGGGGTGGGTGCTCCTCTGGGGTATGGGGCTGCACAGGGAAAGTGAGGGCTGCTGTGGGGCTGGATGAGGAGTGGATTGGACCCAGGGATGTCACTGCAGTAGGAATGCCTCATGCAGATCCCACTGCCACGTGAACCAAGTGTGGTGGCAAGGCCAGCACTGCCATGCTCAGTGTCTCCAGCCCCAGTTTCCCAACCTGGCCTGAAGCCCACCGCAGTCTTTCCCAAGTGCAGCCCCCTTTGCCCCACTGTTTGTCCCCATGGCCACCTGTGGGTGCTCACCTGGACTCCCCATCACAGGTGGCCTCGGAGTTGGTGGCCTCGGAGTTGGTGGCCTCGGTGCTGGTGAGTGGTGCTGATGGGTTTGGTGTGGGGGTCCCAGGGATGGAAGAGCTGAAAAGGAAATGGCATTTTGGGGATGCAGAACCACAGTGTCCCCTCACAGCTGTGACTTGCAGGACTGGGTTTTGCGGAGCAGGAAAGGACAGGGGCATGGGTCCCATGGTCCCCATATCCCCACCCTGCTCTGTCACTGTGCCCTGGGGTACAACAGGGAGGGGATGGCCACAGCCCCAGCATGGCGCAGGCCATGGAGACAGGGAACAGTACAGCAGTGACCACAATGTGTGAGACACCTGGGAACCCTCTGGACTCAGTGTGGGGGCTGTGCTGATGCCCCTCTCTGACGTAGGGCTCTTGTATCCAGGAGCTGCTGGAAAACCTCCTAAGCCAGGTAAGGAACAGGGACGGCCGTGGCTGCACTCTGGTGATACCCCCATCCCCATGCCCTCACCGGGGCTCTCCCTTCACACAGCTTTTGGTGCTGGGGGGCTGCAGCCAGGTGAGAGCTGGGGCTGGGAGCTGAGGTGGGGCTGTCACTGCCCACACTGCTGTGCTCTCTGTCTCCATGCCACTGCCTCACGGGGCGCACCGGGTGGGCACCCATAGTGGGGATGTGGCTCTTGGGGGCAGCCAGCTGTAGGCTGGGGACACCGCAGACACGCAGGGCTGTCACTGCTTCTCACTGCTGTCACTTTCCACCCCCAGGGGCTGGAGTTCCCGGTTTTGGTGTGTCACCGATATTTCCAGGTACTTTCCCCTGTGCCCTTTGCCATGCCCACGGGGACACACAGCCCACAGGGACATGCAGCCCTTAGGGCATGGGGAGACATGGCCATGGGGGGGTGGGGCAGAGCTGGGCTGGGGGCACAAGGCAGAGCATCCCGAAGCCAATGAGGTTTTGCTGTGCTTGCAGGTGGGGTTGGTGGCCAGCTGGGATTTGGCGGTGAGTGCACTGTGGTCACACACATGGGGTTGTTGGGTTGGAGTCCCTTCAAAGGGCACCTGTCCCCACGCTGCCTCCCACCCCACTCATCTCTCTGCCTCGTCCCCACAGGGAAGCCCCCCAAGACCTACGGAGGAGCCCTGGGGGCCCTGGGCTTTAGAGGTGAGTGCTGTTTGGCATCCCCCCACCCCTCCTCCGAGCACCTTTTTGGGGTGGGGAGCTGATCCACTGTCCCCCCTCCATCCCCAGGTGGAATTGGCTGTGCACAAGGGAAATACTGCGGGAGGAAGCGGAAGTAACCGCCCACCGTCACCGATGACCTCATGAACTTTGGTGCTACTGCATGGTCCAGAATGTAAATCCCCACCAAGCTGAGACCCCCCCCCCCCCGGCCCCACGCTCCCGTCAGGGACCCCACGGCAGCGTCAGGGGCCGCCCCCCCACCCCGGGAACCCCCCCAGCCCCAGCAGGGAGTGCGGAATAAACTGCGGGGAGCAGCCATCCCCCTTGGTGCTATCGCTCCTTGCGGGAGGGCCTGGGACCCCCACCCCAACCCGGCCCCGGTGCTCCCCCTGGGGGGTGGCTGACCCCGGGGGGGGGCCGGGCTGAGCACGAGGGGCACGCAGGGGTGGGGGGAGGGAGGGAAGGAGGGAGGGAGGGAAAGAAGGGGTCCCAGTGGCGGGGGGCAGCGCGGGGACTCTGCCAGCCCGCGGACCCCCCCGGCCCCCTTCATGTTACTCACATTGATATAACTGGGTGGGACGCCCTACGCAGAGGGAATCGCTGCCAACAGACTAATAAAGGACAAGTTTTTAATGGAATCTGCCTCCGTCCTGTTCCTGTGTCCCCTGGTCACCCCCCACCCCAGGACAGTGCCTGTGGTGGTGACAGTGGCACTGCGCTGTGCCCCCTCCCAAAATGCAGGACTCGGGTGTGCCACGGTCAGACACCCCTGTGCTCAGGGACACCACAGCCAGGCGTGGGGACAGCCCCAGAGGGGATGGCTTGGAGTCACAGAGGATGGCCCTGTCCTGCCCTGCAGTGACAGCCTGGGGGTGCACGGGGACAGCCGTACCGCGACCCACGGCGACACCTCGGGCTCCGGAGGGACATCGGCATCCCGTTGCACGGTGACACAACCAGCTCACATCCGACTCCCAACCTCCCACGCTGCCTCCCGGCGCGCCGTCCCACGAAGCCCCGCCCCCTCCCCGCGCTCTGGCCACACCCGCAACCCCTCCCGCTAAGCCCCGCCTCTAGGACACGCCCCCTTCTCATAGCTCCGCCCCCTTTTCATAGCTCCGCCCACAGCCCCGCCCCCGCAGCCCCCGCGCCGGCGCCCTGCGCCCCCGGCCCATCCCCGCCCGCCGCCTGCCCGTGCCCGCCGGAGCCGCAGCCGGAGCCGCACCGCAGCGGCGGGGCAGGGCAGGGCAGGGCTCGGGGCGGCAGCGGCGGCGGCAGGGCCTGGCGCGGTGCCGGGCAGCGCGGCTGCATGAGGTTGATGCTGCTGTGCTGCACCTGGAGGGACGAGCCCATGGGAGAGGAGGAAGGTGCGTGACCACCCCCCCCTCCCCCCCACTCACTCCTCCCCTCCCCTGGCCCGCCTGACTCAGCGCTTCCGCCGCCCCCGGGCCGCCCCGCGACCCCCTCCCCTCCCAGCGGCCCAGCAGCGCTCCCCGCGTCCTTCCCGTGCCCCTTATCCTACCCGCATCTTTCCCATACATCTTCCCCCGCATCTCCGCATCCCTTCGTGCGCCCCTACAGCCCCCCCAGCAGGCCTGCTCCCCGCTGAAGCCCTACATCACTCTTGCATCCCCAAATCCCCTTTCTGCATCGCTCCTTCATCCTCATTCCCCTCCCTGCAGCTCCCATCCCATCTGCATCCCCACATCACCCCTACATCACTCTGCATCCAGCCTGTATTCCTCTTCCTTCTTACACCGCGGCATCCCAATATTCCCTTCCTGCAGCCCCCATCCAAACTGCACCCCTACATCACTCCTGCATCCCTATATCATCTCTGTGTCATCCCCGTTCCCCTATCCAGCCTGCATCCCTCCTGCACCCCTGCATCACTCCTGCACCCCCATCTAGCCTGTGTCCCTCTCTGCACCCCTATGTCACCCCATCCAGCCCGCATCCTCCCCTGCACCCCTGTATCACCCCAGCTTCTCCCATCCCACCTTTGTACTCCCCACATCCCTGCCCCCCAATCTGCCTGCATCCCCCTCGCACCCCTACATCTGCCCCTGTTACCCCATGCCAGTCTGCATCCGTCCTAGCTCCATCCACACCCCTGTCTGTTCCCCATGCACCCTATTATCCAAACTGCATCCCCCAGCCCCCCCTACATCTCCCCCTGCATCTCTAACCAGCCCATGTCCCTCGTGCACCCCCACATCCCTTGTGCACCCTCCATCTATCCTGCATCCCCCTTCTGTACCTCCGTATCTCTACACTCATGCTCTCCCCATACTGCACCCCTACCCCCCTTCTGCACCCCACAACCCGTTAACCTGCATCCTGCCCTGCACCCCACACCCACTCTGCACCCTTCCTGCGTCCCACACCTGCCTGCACCCCCAGCTGCACCCCACTCCATCCCATGTCCCCCCAATGGTGCGCTCTGCTGCATCCCACACCCTGTGCATCCCTATGTGCATCCTGCACCCCTTGTCCCCGCATCCCTCTGCATCCCCACGTGCACCTGCATCCCCCCATCTTGCCTCCTGTTCATCCTAGCAACCTGTGCCCTGCACCCCATCCTAGGTCCCTGTGCTGCTGCTGCACCTCATGTCACCATCCTTCTTGCACCCACCTGCACCCCTGCATGCCCAGCACCCATCCTGCACTTCCATGCAGTATGTACACATACCTGCACGCATCTGATGTCCTGCTGTGCCCCTCTCCGTCCTGTCCCCTTTCTCTGCATGTCCCCTTCACCATCCTGCAGCCACCCCACACTGCTGCAAGCCTCATGTTGCTCCCCCAGCTTGGCACCAGCACCCCTCTGTCCCCGTGCATCCCAAACATCTGTCCTACAGCTGCATCCCACTGTGTCCTCATGTCTCCTCTCCCCTCTGCCTGCTGGGCACCCCCGCGCCCCATCTCCCCATGCCTCCTGCACCCCAAAGTTTCCTCTCGTGCTGAGCACCCCGATACTGCTCTGCTGTCCCTTCCAGGACCTCAGTGTCTACTTTGTACCCCTTGTGCCCCATGCATCACCTCCTGCCCCACTGCTGTCCCCTGAATGCTCCATGTCCCCCCTCTGGCCTCCTTCCCCATCTCTATCTCTGTCCTCAGTGCTCTGCCAGCCTTGTGTCCCGCTGCCACCCTGTTCCACGATGTCCCCATGGTGCCACCCATCACCCTGGGAATGTGCATTGCCGAGGCAGGGGATAGAGACCACCCAGTTCCCTTGCCCAGAGTACAGCCCTGGTTGGCACAGTGGCAGTGACACTGCCATCAGCCCCATCCCCAGCACCAGGAACACGAGCACAGTGACCTTGTCCCCAAGTTGGAAAGCTTGGGGAATTGATCCATGGATCGATGGGGAACCGAGGGGTGGCTTCGGTGGCAGAGGGACAGCAGGAGCACGTGGTGGGGATGTGACAGCACGCAGGGTGACATCCCTGTCCCTTAGGGACCGACCTGCCCGTGTGTGCGAGCTGCGGCCAGGGCATCTTCGATGGGCAGTACCTGCAGGCGCTGAACGCTGACTGGCACGCCGACTGCTTCAGGTGGGACCTGCGGTGACATTAATAACAGGGGGACATGGAGGTCACTGAGCCCACACAGGGCTCTGCCACTCGTGTCACGTCCCACATGGCTGTGTCCCTCCTTCCTGCCCCCCGGGGTGCGCAGGGACCGTGTGGCCATGTGGTGGGGGCTGATGTCACCGTCCCCGTCTCACCCCGCTTCCTCTTTGTCGCGCTCTCTCCCTGCGGTGGGAGCTGGTGGAGGAAGTTGGGGACGTGGGGGTGGCCCGGAGCTGGGTGGTGACGGGGGGGCAGGACAGTCCCCATCCCTATCCCTGCATCCGGACGATGCTGGCAGCTGTGCTGAGGAAGAGCCGTGCCCTGAGCGCTGGAGCCAAGTAAGGGCTGGGGTGGGTTGGGGGTGCTCGTGTCCCCTCCCAATTTCACGGGGTGCCGTTTCACATCCGGGGTGCACTGCTTCCCTGGAGCTGGGATGAGTGGAGGGATGGATGGATGGACGGATGGACGGACAGATAGATCCATTGGCCCCGTGAAAGTAGCCCTGTGGGGTAGCTGGATCCGGCCTCTCCCCTCCCCTCCACCCCAGGCTTCCGGAGGCCCATGGCTGCCTGCAGAAGCCTTCTGCCTCTCCTCCTTCTCTTCCTCCTCTTCCCGGTACACGCTTCGGCTCTGCTGTCCCCCGGTGACAGGAGCACAGTGCCTGCTGCTCCTGCTGCCGTGGGGAAGTTGGGGCAGTGTGGGGAAACGTGCTCTATCAGATGCTGTGGCAGAGGAAGGGAGCGGAGCGTGACGGGTGCCGCATCCCCCCGCGTTCCGGTGCTGTTTCTCCGCGCGATGCCCGTTCGTGTCCCTTCCCCCGCTCCCCACCAAGCGCCGCGGCCGCCCCGTCGGGGCTCAACGGGAGGGCGGCGGCAGCGGAAGGGTTAAGGGGGCGTGGCCGAGGCGCCGCTTCCCATTGGCTGCCGTCCCCCGGGTGGCGCGGAGCGGCGGAGACCTCGCGCGGTGACGTCATGGGGTGGGGAAACTCCGCGCCGTGACGTCACGTCTGTTGGAGGGATGGGGAGGGGGTTCCACGTGCCTCCCCCCGGAGAGAACGGGGCGGGGGACGGGGACTGCGGGGTCTGACACAACCCCCCCCCCCCCCCCCCAAATCCACAGCCTTCCTGCAGTGCTCTCATTCGCTGCCCGTTGTATATCTCAGCCCCTCCCCTCCCCCAACCTCGTAATTCAGTCCCCCCCCCCCCATTCCCGCACTCTCACAGCTCACAGCCTCCTGACCCCCGCCTCACTCCGCCCCATAACTCACTGCTGCCTACAGTGCACCGCCCTATAAACATGCTCTGAAATCACGGTGTCCCTCAAATTTGCACCCTCCACCCCTATAAGTCACAGTAATTCAGTGCCACCCCCTGCACTCCCACAGCTCACAGCTTCCTGGCCCCCCCAACTTCACTGCTCCCTGTAACTCACTGCCCCTCTGCGTCCTCCTCAATCGCTGCATCCCACTAATAAGTCCCTGCCCCTATAAAAAAATGTCCCTATAATTCACCCCACCCCCAACATTCATTAGCCCCCTCCCCACTGCTGTCCCCCCAGATTCTAGAGGGGAGAGGCTGCTTATGCACATGCCCACACTCTGCACGCAGGGGGGAACAACATGGGGGCGAGCGGGCAGTGACTCATGCCAGGGCTGCAGTCCCTCGGTGTGACTGTCACCATGTCACGCACCCCTCCCACACACCCCCAGAGAGGAAGAAATGGAGGGAGAGGGGACACACATGGCAACAAAGGGAAGCAGCGCACACAGCCGGATGGGGTTGACACCCTGTGACACCCCCTGGTGTCCCCAATGTCCCCAATGTGCCATAGGTGCGGTGAGTGCGGGGCCTCGCTGTCCCACCAGTACTACGAGAAGGATGGGCGGCTGTACTGCAAGAAGGACTACTGGGCACGATTTGGGGAGCTGTGCCACGGCTGTGCCGAGCAGATCACCAAAGGGCTGGTCATGGTAAGGGGAGGGGGACCCGGGGGACCCTCAGCTGGGGGTTTCTGTTCCTGTTGTGGGTTTTGTGGCTGCTGGAGTTCCCCGGTGCACGGGGAGG